CAGCAGGTGGTTCTGTGGTTTGCTCAGGTGGGTGGTTCTGAGTGGGTGGGTGGGTGGGTGGCGCTGCTCCTCTATAAAATCCTGCAGGCTCCACAGACCTTCTTGTGGAGTGCAGCTCTCCCGGAGAAACCTCTCTCTGTGAGCCTCTGTGCCTTCATTTGGATCAGGTGTCTGCTGGTGGACCATCACTCTCAGTGGCCATTCCCACGAAGAGGGTCTTGACTCGGCCAGCTTGCCTGTCTCCCCAGGGTGTAACTCTTGCCAGCTGGGTTCAAGGACAGAAGCTAGAGAAGAAACTCCCCAAGCTACAGGTTCTGGGCCCTGGCCATCCAGTGGAGTCAGTCTGGTAAGTCAGCCAGCCTTGGCTGATACATCTCCTTTTGGGGAAGAGTCTGCCTTCCAGAAGGGAAAGTAGTTTGTGTCTTTATATACATATCTAAGAGAGAAACAGCCGCTGACGCTTCTCCCGAATCTGAACGCCTCGAGGAGCTCGGGCCATTGCAACCATGGAGTCTGACGAGGCTGCTCGCCAGAACCTGAGCTGCAGCATCATGACCTTCCATCCAAGCATGGAAGAATTTGCAGACTTCAACAAATACATCGCTCACATGGAATCGCAGGGAGCACATCGAGCTGGGATAGCCAAGGTGGTGCCCCCGAAGGAGTGGAGAGCCACGCGGTCCTACGCCAAGATCAAGGGCATGCTGATCGCCACTCCGCTGCAGCAGACCGTGTCCGGAAGGGCAGGCGTCTTCACCCAATACAACCAGCAGAAGGAAGCCATGACGGTGGAGCAGTACGAACGTCTGGCGAACAGTGAGTCCTATCGCACCCCAGCGCACCTGGATTTTGAAGATCTGGAGCAAAAGTACTGGAAGACGCGCACGTATGGTTCGCCACCGGTTTATGGTGCCGACGTGAGCGGCTCCCTGTTCGAGGAGAGCACGGAGGCGTGGAACATCGGCCGCCTGGGGACCATCCAGGACCTGCTGGAGCAGGAGTGCGGGGTGGTGATCGAGGGCGTGAACAGGCCCTACCTGTACTTCGGCATGTGGAAGACCACCTTCCCTTGGCACACGGAGGACATGGACCTGTACAGCATCAACTACGTGCACTTCGGGGCCCCCAAGACGTGGTACGCGGTGCCCCCCGAGCACGGCCCGCGGCTGGAGAGCCTGGCGCAACAGCTGTTTCCGGGCAGCGCGCAGGGCTGCAAGGCCTTCCTGCGGCACAAGCTGGCCCTCATCTCGCCTCGCGTGCTGCGGGACACTGGCGTCCCCTTCGGTCGAATGACCCAGGAAGCTGGAGAGTTCATGGTCACCTTTCCCTACGGGTACCACGCTGGCTTCAACCACGGCTTCAACTGCGCCGAGGCCATCAACTTTGCCACGCCGCGCTGGATCGATTATGGCAAAGCGGCCTCGCAGTGCAGCTGCGGGGAGGCCAGGGTCAGCTTCTCCATGGATGTCTTCGTGCGCACCCTGCAGCCCGAGCAGTACGAGCAGTGGAAACGCAGGCAAGGCCCGGAGCTGGAGCAGGGCGCCGAGCCCGCGAGGCCTGCCAGGCGCGAGCCCAAGTCCAGGCCGAAGCAGATGGCCAGCACCAAGCCGACGCCCAGGCCGCGGCGCACTTCCATACGAGACCCGAGGCCCACAACAGAGGCCAAGCCCAGGCCCGAGCTGAGGCCCAGAAAGAAGCCAACCCCGAGACCGGAGCCAGGGCCTAGGCCACCGCTGACAACCAGCCCGGAGATGTCACCCGAACCCGAGCTGCCCCCCACATGCAAGCTGACGCCCACACCGGAGATGACGCCCGGCCAGGAGCTGACGGCCACACTGGAGCTGCCCGCCAGACCCGAGCTGCTACCCATACCGGATGTCCCGCCAAGACAGGAGCTGTCGCCCGGACCCGACCTGATGCTGAGACCAGAGTTGATGCCCAGACCGCAGCGGATATCCGGACCTGAGCTGATGGAGAGGCTTGAATTAATGCCGGGGTCCCATCTGGTGCCCAGCCCTGAGCTGACCCCCTGCCCGCAGACGATGCCCTGGCCACATTGGAAGCCCAGATCAGAGCCGATGCACACAGCGGAGCTGATGCCGAGACCAGAGATGCCATCGAGACCCGAGCTGCCGCCCTGGCCACAGTGGAAGCCCAGGTCTGAGGTGATGCCCACACCTGCACCAACGTTCTGGCCACAGTGGACCCCCACACCAGAGCTGATGCCCACCCAGGAGATGATGCCAAGGCCAAAGCTGACATGCAGTCCCCAGCTGACTCCTTGGGCAGAGTGGACCCCCAGATCAGAGCTGATGCCCACACTGAAGATGAGGGCCTGGCCGGGGCTGATACCCAGAGCAGAGATGATGCCCTGGACAGGGCCAACACCCGGGAAGGATGTATCAGATCATGGGAGACCAGAGCAGAGCCTGATGTCCCTTCAGTGTGGGGCCCATGGTGGTAGAACTGGTCAAGAAGCTCTTACGTGGCAGTCTCCTTGGTTTGTGGCCTCCAGAAATGCTCCACCACCCCTGGTGTCTGTCCACAGGTCACAAGAGCTCTACCCAACTCCCCCTTCATCCGTTATCGCATCCCACCAGCACCTCTGTCTCCTTCCTGTCCCCAGTACTCTTGGAAAACGTAAGCGTCAGGAGCCCTTCCTGCTGAGGCCAGCCAAGAGATGCCCAGGAAGCCCAGCCCAGCCCCATCTCCAGGAAGCTTGCCATGAATGCCTGAGCCTCTGAGCCCTGTTGGGAGTGTCCCACTGGGGTTCTGTCTTCAAACCTTGGCACCATCTGCAAGCCGACCCTGGCTTTGCGCCTTCCCTTGCTGACTATCCTCTGAGGCAGCACACCGAATCTCCATGACTGTGCCCTCTGATTGTGCCTGATGCAGAGCCTCTGAGAAGCTTCCTGGATGCTGATCATTCACTGTGTGGCTCCTGTGGACCTGGCCTGAATTGTAGGCGTGAGACTCATGGCTGCCCTCAGCATCCTGCCTCCATAGAAACTGCTAAGATCTCCTGTCTCCTGACTGCAAAACCAGACAGTCTTGTACCTGGGAATGCTGAGATACTTGCCATCAGTAAATGGTCCTACCTCTTTGAGCATGGATATTGACTGTACTATATATGGAATGTGGCTGTCCTCTGACCTTATGCTCAGACCTAAGCGCCATTCTGGCTGGCATTATCCAAGGGCACGTTTTCTTTGGAGTGACATGATGTTTTGTCACACTGACATTGGGCCTGCCTCTGACGACTGACATGGACTTCCCATCCATGATGCCATGGTGTCATAGGAAGTGGTCCTTCCCCTTGTGCCATCTTGGCCCAGCCTGGACACAGATGAACCTCTCAGGGCAGTGATGTCAATCAACAATTCAGGTTTCTCCTACCACGCTCAGGACTCTTCTTCTGTAGAGCTATGGGCCCTGTTCCCACAGAGTTTGGATCACATTGGCTGATGCAGAGACTCCAGTGGACTTCTTTTCCTTCAAGCTGCCTCTGGGCCTCTGAGTCACTCACCCTAGCTTCTACAGCCCCAGAGGTCGAGGAGCAGGTCGTGGTCCTAGCATTATAACCTGCCCTGCTTCCCTCAGGGCACCACCAACCACGGCCCCACCATGCAGAAACTAGAAGTTTAGATCAACTGACATTCGGAGTCAAGTGGTTGTTTTTTTTTTTTATCTCTGTATTACTTTGTATTGTTGGTGATGTTTCATAAATTTATCAATTCTGTAACACATAGAAATAAATCAGAGTTAAAACTGGTCAGATGCGGGGTGAACTAATTTAGCAGTTTGGACACAATGTTGGAAATGAACTTTACATTTGGGGAGGAGGTGTATTGGGATGGGAAAATGGAGATAGGTAATGAACAAATGGGTAACAGGATTGTAAAGAAATGTACTCATTACCTAACTCATGTAACTTTAACCCTTGTGTACATCACCTAAACAATAAAGTTTAATTTTTTAAAAAACCATCAAGTTGGTTTTGGTAGTCCATGCTTATAATTCTAGATACTTAATATGCTGAGTTCTGGAAGATCATTCTTTGAATCCATCCTAGACTAGAATGTCTGGAGACTCCACTTTCTATTCACCAGCAAAAAACTCGGTTGTATTTTATGTGGTATATAGCTTCCTTTGAGCATCAACCCCCTCCCAGCCATCCCCCCCCCCCGGCTCTCACAAGACTGATTTCAAGCCTACTATCTGCACATGCCATACACACACACACACACACACACACACACACACACACACACACACATTCAGACACATGGTCTATCTCCAGAATTAGGTTAAAAAATCTATTTAGTCATAGTGATTTAGAAAGGTTGAAAAGTAAGGATTAGGAAAAGGTATTCCAAGGTAAATATAAACAAAAGAAACCAGAAGTCAACTGATCAAAGAAACTACATTCAGGGTAAAGGAAGAAGGGTATGCCTTCTTGGAAACAATATCCCTGTTCTCCTAGTAGCTTTCTGAAACTCCCAAATCAGCAAAGTCAAAGTGGAAGAAATCAATAGATATTCTAAAAGTATAGATATAGATATAGATAGATAGATAGATAGATAGATAGATAGATAGATAGATAGGTCATGTATTTCAATGTTTTTATTGCTATCTGTTTAATGTGGGTGTGCTGGTCCTAGACCTTGATCTCAAGAGCTGGTTACTCTCCCTGATCTTTTGTGCTCAAGCTTAGTACTCTACTACTTGAGCTACAGTTCCAGTTATGATTGTGTGTGTGTGTGTGTGTGTGTGTGTGTGTGTGTGTGTTTCATTGAAGATAAGAATCTGAGAAACTTTTCCTGCCTTAACTGGCTTTGAACCATGATCCTCTGATCTTAGCAGCCTGAGTAACTAGAATTATAGGTAGAGGACACTGGTACCCAGTATCATGTATATTTTTAAGTATTTGGTTTGTATTATGAAATTAGGAGAATGAAGATTCCATCCTATTCCATCCCCAACCCTTTCCCACATATTTTCTTTTCATTTTCAAGCCTATTTATAAGTGCAGATAATCATTTGTAAATAATACATGCAAATTATTCATCTAGCATAGCATACCTATACTCCCTTCCTATATCATCTCGCTTGGCTAAGTATATTGTTCGTTAGCCATTACTGATTTACCTTCAAATCTAGCACAAAACAAAATCGTTTCTTGATACAAAAAAAACTATGTGGAATACAAGTTCGGAGACTTGATATTGTTAAAAAAAAATTGGGGGGGGTCTTGTCGTGGGGCCTGAACTTTGGGCCTGGGCGCTGTCTCTCAGCTCTTCAGCTCAAGGCTAGCACTCTACCACTTGAGCCACAGCACCACTTCCGTTTTTTTTCTTTTTCCTTACGTGGTGCTGAGGAATCGAACTCAGGGCCTCAGGCATGTAAGGCAAGCACTCTACCACTGAGCCATTTTCCCAGCCCTTGAAAAAAATTTTAAACTCTTCTCATGCTTGAGCATTGTTTGCTGTGTGTAGAAAAATTTCCCCTTAGAATTAGGAAGACCATCTTTATCTCTTCAGACAGGTTTATTGTTGAGAAATTCATCACTATTCCTTATTAATAATATGTAACATGTTCTATCCCCTGGAAAATTTTAGTATTTTCTTATTTTCTCCAGGTTTTATTGTTGGTCGTGATGGTAATCATGGGTTATATGTATGTGGGATGTGGGGGGGGGCAGTGCTGGGGTTAAACCTAAGACCCCACACATACAAAAAAAGTACTGTACCAAAATCCCAACCCTTTTTCCCAATCTTCTAAACATTCATAACAGTGTGCCCACTTAAGACTTTTATTATATTCAATGCTTATAAATCCATTAAATTTGGAAATTCATATCCTTCAACTACAGGATAGAGTCCTAAGCTACTTAATAGCTTCTTTCCCTTGGTTCTATCTGAACTCCAAAAATGTAATTAGCCAATATCTGTTTAATTTTTGCCAGTATCTAGGCTTGAACTCAGGGCTAGGGCACTACTCCTTAGCTCCTTCAGCTCAAGACTGACACACAACCACTTCTGGCTTTTGGGTGGTTAATTGGATGTGAAAGTCTCTCAGACTTTCCTGCTTGGGATGAGTTCATCCTCAGATCTCCTCCTCCTGAGTATCTAAGATTAAAGTCATGAACCATTGGCACCCAGTATATTAGCCAATTTTTGAACCTACTGAATTGTGCCTCTGAATTTTTCCTGTTTTTTTATATTCTCTTACTTTCCATCTGTGTTTTTTTCTCTTTATTTTACCTTTATAGAAATCTCCCCAACTTCAATATCCATTCTTTTCTGCTTTAAATCTATCTAGGGCTAATTGGGAGAGTTTGACACAGCAAAAATGCCCAGTGGAACCTTTTGGACATTAGAGAAACACTTAGGGTAAGAGTTAGATGAAAATGATCAAACTAATTCCCTGGTCACATGACAATAATCTAAAATTGCATAAGCAAAATGTTTTTGTCAGTAAGAGAGGAGACAGTCTAAAAATAGACTCAGACTCCCCTGGTATTGTAAAATAATCATGCAATTTTATTTATTTTTGAAGTTGGAATCTTACCCCTTGTTGAGCCTTAAAATTCATGCAGGGTTTGTAGCTCAGGAATGGTAGTACAGTGTTTGCCTAGAATGATGAGGCTCTACATTCTAATCCTGGGGGGAAAGTGACAGAGACAGAGACAGAAGGAAGGAAGGAAGGAAGGAAGGAAGGAAGGAAGGAAAACAAGGAAGGAAGGAGAGAAGAAAGGAAAGAAGGAAGGTAGGTTAGAAACTGTTGTTCCATATCCTTCCACATCCTCTCCAGACAATATTCTTCCTCATATCAATAATTTTAAGTACTTTATTTAAAAATATAACCCATTCATTACGTGTGCACATCAAACAAATTCCATTCTAGGAAACCAATGTCCTTCAGCACAGAACTCTTGTTTCCCCTCTTTGAAATACAACCCTAAACAAATAGATTTGTCTTCTTTCTTCAAGACTGAAGTATGAGGATATGCTTACTGAAAAGCTAATTCATTCTAGTAGGCATCCATATTCTGTAATGCACTTGTCATTGACATTTGTCATAACCAGAATGTATTCTTTCATCCTCTGCCTCCCCAAATTAGCAACCATCAGTAAATTCTGTCCTTATCACTTAACCTACTAACCCATTTTTGCAGTTATATACTAGAAAACACTGGGCAAACACCAGGGCTCAAGGTCACTCTGTAATTCATTTGTTGGCCATGGAAAGAAAAAATAAATAAATATGAAAAGAACTTGAGATGAGAGGAATTGTGCATTCCAGCTTTTGAATTTTTCATAATTACTATCAAGATCTCTTTTATATTTATTTTTGTGTCATCCATTTTCATGGTCTCATGTTTTCATTTGCATAGACATATCTTCCATTGTCTCCTTGAGTAAATTACTACCATTTTGTGTTTACCTAAGTTTTTGCATTATTTGCTAGTATAATTTATTTCTCCTGAGTGTTTTGTTGTTGTTGTTGTTGCTTTTGATTTACATGCTTAAAAGTTTTCCTGGATGGGCTGGGTGGTAGAATGTTTGCCTCATATGCATGAGGCCCTGGTTTAGATTCCACAGCACCACAAGCTCAAGTGGTAGGGCACTAGCCTTGAGCTAAAGAGCTGAGGGACAGCATCCAGGTGGAGTTCAACCCCCATGACCAACAACAACAAAACATGTTTCCTTATGACCTTGGCTGTCTATTTCTGTGACAAAGG